TAATAATGACAAAAACATTGGAAAGCCCACATATACATGTAAACTGAGCAACACTCTACTCAGTGATGACTTGGTCAAGGAAGACATAAAGAAAGAAATTAAAGACTTTTTAGAATTTAATGAAAATGAGGACATATGGTACCAAAACTTGTGGGACTCCATGAAAGCAGTGCTAAGAGGAAAACTCGTAGCTCTAAGTGCCTACAAAAAGAAACTGGAGAGAGCATACACTAACAACTTGACAGCATACCTAAAAGCTCCAGAACAAGAAAAACCAAATACACTCAAGAGGAGTAGATGGCAGGAAATAATCAAACACAGGGCTGAAATCAACCAAGTAGAAACAGAAAGAACTATAGAAAATGTCAACAAAACCAGGAGCTGGTTCTTTGAGAAAATCAACAAGATAGATAAACCCTTAGCCATACTAACCAGAGGGCACAGAGACAGTATCCAAATTAACAAAATCAAAACTGAAAAAAGAGACATAACAACAGAAACTGAGGAAATTAAAAAAAGTCATCAGATCCTACTACAAAGGCCTATACTCAACAAAACTGGAAAATCTTGATGTCATGGACAGTTTTCTAGACAAATACCAGGTACCAAAGTTAAATAATGAGCAAATAAACCATCTAAACAGTCCCATAACCCCTAAAGAAACAGTAGCAATCATTAAAAGTCTCCTGACAAAAAAAAAAAAAAAAAAAAAGCCCAGGACCAGATGGTTTTAGTGCAGAACTCTATCAGACCTTCAAGGAAGACCTAATACCAATTCTCGTCAAACTATTCCACAAAATAGAAACAGATAGAAACAGAAGGAATACTACCCAATTCTTTCTATGAAGCTACAATCATGCTCATACCTAAACCTCACAAAGACCCAACAAAGAAAGAAAACTTCAGACCAATCTCCCCCCTTATGAATATCGATGTAAAAATACTCAATGAAATTCTTGCAAACCAAATCCAAGAACACATCAAAACAATCATCCATCATGATCAAGTAGGCTTTATCCTAGGAATGCAAGAATGGTTTAATATTCAGAAATCCATCAATGTAATCCACTATATAAACAAACTCAAAGAAAAAAAACCACATGATCATCTCACTAGATGCTGAGAAAGCATACAGGTTTCTGGAATCTCTGTTCTATTCAGTTGATCCGCAAATCTATAAATCTATGTCTTTACAACTTCCTTTCTTCATGACCCCTTTCATTTCTCAGGTTCTTGCTATGTTGCTCAAGCTTCAAAATGGCTAGCATTACAGGTATACACCAACTCATGAAGTAACACACACACACACACACACACACACACACACACGCACATGCACACAAATATGCCATAATGTACATTACCTAGTTATTATTTTAATGAAATATATTGAAATCTGAATATGTGAGGCATGATTTTCTGCTCAAGACTATTTTGACCCTTGGAGTCATATGAACTTGACATTATTTTGTCCCTTCTCCTTTCCCACTTCTCTTTCTTTTCCTTACCTCCAGTTTCTAGCACTATGGTGGATGTTTATGGTGAAAGCACACATCTTCACTTTCCTTCTCATTTAGGGAATGCCAACAGTTCCAGGTCAAGAAAACTGTTAGTTATAGGCTTATACATATGGGTTCTCTATTCAAGTAGCTCAATTTTTGTTTCTAGTTAGTCTGTGTGGTTTAGCTACTTTTTTACTACTATGATAAAGCATCACTGGATAAAACACCAAAGAAATTTATAGGAAAAAGAGCATATTTATAACTTACAGTTTCAGAGGGTTATAGTCTATAACCTTTTTGGGAATGAGGATGGCAGAAGGCAGGCAGGCATGGATGGAAGAATAGATAAAAGCATCTTGAGGCCGATCATCAATCAGGTAGAGAGGTTTAATTAGGAATGGCCTGTACCTCTGAAAGGTCAAGCTTAAACTCCAGTGACAAACCTTCTCCAACAAGGCCCTAATCCTTCTACAAAAGTTCCATCATCAAATGGGGACTGAGTATTCAAATTTTTGACACTATAGGGGCCACTCTCACTCAGACCAATACATTGTTTTTATTGTGAAAGTGTGTGGCACTTCATAATGTAGTAAAGTTTAATCCCCATCTGAGATTTCTACCCCACCTTTAATCATTTATTTCCAGGATAAAAGACACACATACAACTTTTACATTTACAATAAATCTTAACCTGCACAAAAACTAGGCAGATATCTATACTGTATGCTATTATGGCTATTTCCTAGCCAGTAATCCCATTATATAATTTTCCATGTTTCATCTGGGCTGCTTTTAACTTCCATTGACTCACCTAACCCATGGTAGCTTTCTCCTCTCTTTCCTTATCCCTCGCATGTTTCTCCTTCAACACAAAGCCCAAGAACTCTAAATCCTACTTATGTCTCTTCTGCTCAGCTATTAGCTGTCATCGTATTTATTCACCCATTAGAAATAACTTGAGGACAAGATAACCTAGGGTCCCTTCAGCCTAGGAGTAGACTCATCTTTGGGACAAGTAGGTCTTGGTGGCCTGCACTTAGCATTACAATAAAGAGCAACAACCAAACCTCAACAACATAATGTGTCTTTTTCCCTGCATTTACTAAGATAATAATAAAGCTTTGTTGTTTATTTGTTAATATGGAGTTGAAGATGGACTAGTTTCCATAGATTAAATCATCCTTTCATTTTTGGTTTAAGAATCTCCCCAGCCAACAATTTTTACGAAATTAAAAAGATACCAATTACTCTCCCTTACTTTGAGAGAATTAAACTAAAAATGAAAAATAAAAACAGAAAAAATCGAAGTTTTGAAAAGATTGTGTTTTTCCACCAAAGGACTTTTTGTTTTTACTAATTTAAAATTATGTATACACATGCGTTGGTGTCTAGTTGTGTGTATTTGAGTGCAAGGTCCCACACATTTTAGAAGAGAAGATCCCTGGTACCCTGGAGATAGAGGCTTGTTGTGTTTGTTTGTGTGTGTGAATGAGGGGTATAAAGTCATGTTATGTGGCATGGCATGGTTTATTTACGGGGTTTGTATCCATCTGTCATTCACTGGAGTGCCTTCTTGTCTTCTGCTGGCTCCTATTTGTCTCTATAGCGTTATACCTATATCTATATCACTCATCTCTATCTCTATCATCAATATTTATATCTAATCTCCATCTCTCCCTATCTAAATCTTCTCTCTTGACTGTTTCTTCTTTCATTTTCCCTATGTTTGATTAATCTGTGGCAGAAAGCAAAGCAGGCACGTGTTCTGATGCTACTGTGTTGCTATCTTTACATTAAATACCATCAGGACATACTTCCTGTTGCAACTTTGCTAACCTTTGTGTGTTGTGTTTCTTTTTTTCCCTACTTATGTTTTTTTTTTCTGTCTTTCTCTATGTCCATTGCTTTTCATAGAGGCTTGGTTTTATTTCTTTCTTGTTTCCCTTTGTGTATATCACATATGTTCTTAGGGAAGAGCACTGCAATTGCATTTAAAAATGTATTTTAATGTGATAACAAGCTCATCTGTGTGTAAAATTTCTGTTACTGTTGATACAAATCATCCATTTTTTCACTGAGAAATTTATAACTAAGGATTAAAGAAGAAAACTCTATGCCAGATAGATTGGTGGTTGACCTACTTGGATTTAATAATACAAGTTTCTACTAGAGCTCAAGGCACAAGTCAAGGCCCCAACAGAGTCAGGGTCAGGTGATAGGCCTCTTTCTGTATGTGCAGGTCGACTTCCTCTTAGAGAATCCTCACATGTCAAAGCAAGGGGATCATGCACTGTATTTTCTCTTATCATAAGGCAATCAACCTAGTGTGAAGGTTCAACTCTCAAGAACCAACATCTTCTTCTCAGCCCCAATACTACTGTGGGTATGGTTTCAACACAGGGATTTGGGGTGACACAAACTCACATTCTATAATGTCACATTTTAACATTAACAAAAAGAATTTGCTTATTAATGTGGATATGGGCTAGAAAAAAAGGATGAATCAAAGAAAAAATAAATGATGAATCAATAAGTTTTGTTAGAATAAATCACTCAATATATTGATAATCTTTTTTGTGGTAGTTTGAATGAGAATCACCTCCATAACCTCAATATTGATCAGCTGTTAGAATTGTTTGAGAAGGATAGGGAGTTGTGGCCTTGTTGGAGGGGGTATGTTATTTAGAGTGAGCGTTGAGGTTTCACAAAGCCCATGACATTTCCACCTTCCTTCCTTCCTTCCTTCCTTCCTTCCTTCCTTCCTTCCTTCCTT